TAATGGTCTAATTTGTGATAGACCACTCGCGGGAAAATCAAAATAAATAAATTATTAATTATTAATTATGTTAAGGATATTTTAATTTGTTTTCATTATTTGACCGATTAGTATGTTCATACTAAAACAATTAGACCTCTCGGCCTCGTGGACTACGTGCTAATAGTCCATTCGGCCTTGCGGACTCTGCCTCATGGGCTATAGCTCGTAGTCCACTTGACCTCGAGGTCTAATTGTTAATTATATATACTTTAGCCCTTTGCAAAAATTATGAGAATTGTTGAAATATCTAAATATCATAATRTCRWGTGCATGATGGGTAATCCCGCGCGATGCCCTTAGTCCCTTGTCTTTGTAGTTTAGTTATTCAGTTTTGACGACAGACTTATCCGTAGTTCTGAACATTTTCTCGTGATGTCAACAATGAATTATTCTAGCAAACCCGCGTGTTCCGGACAATATATGGATATGGATATTATGATATTTAGATATTTAGACAATTCTCATAATTTTTGCAAAAGGCTGTATGAGTCAAAATGATGCTGTATAAAATATTGTTTTCTTAGTACCCAGGAATAAACGTGATTGGCCGCGTCAAGGGCAGATACACTGGGACCAACAAGGATAAGATTCTTATCATCGGATCTCACTATGATACTGTCCAGACAACCAATGGCGTTGATGACAATGGTTCTGGGGTAACGGCATTACTGCAAACATTAGCCAAGTATAAAAGCACGAGTACGTCATTTTCATGCCAGAATAAAAATGTTATTTACCGGCACTGTCAACTTTAATAATTAAATACTGGGCTACAGTGGACTGAAATATGCAATTTAGCACTATTTGATTAGAGGGAAGTCAAAAGCCCGTAAATACATTATACATCAATCCAGATTATTACGCTCTAATTGCATTGTTTTCTTTTCTGTGTACTTGACTATCACACTTTAATAGTCAAAATTTGTTTCACGGAGTTGGTGCGTTCTTTTTCACGTCTTTAGTACTTGCACTNTTAAATGTTTTTATCTATGCTCTTCTGGTGTTTGAAGTAATGTTTAAAGTCCGACAATGAGGACTAAAACTAATACTCCATTTTCGAATAAAAAATAAATAAATAAATAATATGTTTATTCGTGCCTATCGCAGGATCCCTGAATTACAGGCACGGTCAGCATGGAGCCGTGCATACAATAAATAATTTACATTAAACAAGAATATTTACATGAAACGAAATTTCCAAAGCGGTCTGTGTTAGTTTTCCTACATCGAAACATGGCTGATGGTCTTAAATTATAATGAGTGTCTCTAAGCGACCAACCGCTGTCTTATTTGACAGCAGATTTTCTTACGCAAGGAACTTACCAAACACAAAGAAAGCACGAGAAAATGTGTTACGTACAATAGCGCTGACAATCTACATTTTACSCGAGTTGAGGCTAACCCTGTATTCGCGGAAGGCGCATACCTTAGGTCTCATGGGAATACAGGGCTAGCCTCAACTCGGGAAAATGCAAATTTTTAAGGCTATTGTAAAAACAAAATTTTTTCGTGCTCCCTTTTGTGTTTGGTCAGCTCTCTGCGCAAGAGAATCTGTAGTCAAATAAAGCAGCGGTTTTTTGCTATCAATTCGAAACTGGAGTATTGCGCGGACTTGAAATCCCGTCCAGTCCACAAACACACAAGCTTAAAACAGTTAAAAGGTCCGGTGTTTCTCTTTTTTCATAGTTCTATTTTAAAATTCTTTTGTTTATGAGCTGCTTTTGAGATAAATAGCTATTTTTACCATTTGTACATAGAATCTGTAATAATTACTTGTTAACTTCGTTCCTAACTGCACTAAAAGTATAAATAAACTATAATTATTATTATTATTATTCGATTCTGATAAACTTCTAAATTGTAGACTGTAGCTAATATAATTTTATTTTTGCTTTCAGGACGTTTCAATGCAATAAAACTGCCATTGCCATTTAGCGGRAAAACAACCGATCTTCCCCGCATSCAACAAGWAACCTACTCACACTTCCTAAGGAGCGACCACGCCAACTTTTGGAACGGTKCAATATCATGGCCAGCRGTRTTCRTAACAGACACAGCTGACTTCCGGGGTTTTATGAAAACGTGTTACCATCAGCCGTGTGACAACATGAATAGCGTGACACCTGATATGATATCATTTCTGGGTAAGACCGTTSAAGCGCTYGTGAGCGCCGYTGGRAAAATGACTGGCCGTGATTGCCCTGGTAACGTTACTTGTAAGTATACAATAACTAAACTTATCTCCCTTTGGGCTACCTATGCATTATTGTTTTGAGCTTCCTTTACYGAAAGTATTCCATATATGGAACGAAACAAAATAACCGATTGTTGCGAAAAGTCTTTCCATTGCTATTTGCAAGTTCAGACGATTTGAAGCTTAAAAAAAATCATGAAAAAAAATCCTTTAATCGCGCCAAAAACGAGTCGATACGGACTTCCAAATAAGGCAAAATTACCATATATGGCTGCTAAACTAAGAACAACTACTTTAAGGCAATTGATTGACATTTTTACGTCAACCCATTTCACTAGTTGAAAACAACTAAAACAAGTGCGATTGACAGCTATTTATTGTACTAAATTAGAAAAATAGATTCGAAATACTTACTTGAACTTATCTCACCGACAAGAAAATGGAGCAGTATACATTTCAAATTTTGATTCCAGATTGCGCGAATGAAAAAACAATAACGAGTAACCAAGAGATCATTTCATCCCCACTCTACCCCTCTCAGTACCCCAATGGTGTCAGTTGTGGCTGGATCAGGCAATCAGAGTACCCTCAGAAACTGGTGTTTGAACATTTTGATTTGGAAAACAGTGTCAATTGCTCCCAGGGTGATTATGTGGAGGTAACCGCTGGTGAAAAAAGTTTGGGTAAGTCCGCTGATCAAATTTTGTGCTAATGCCACTTCTGTATGTATCCATCGAAGGCTTAGAGCGTAGTTTTTATGCGCTTACTTTGCAACGTTGCCCTAAATATGTCTCGCAAAGCAAAGAAATTTTCAGGAAATCATGGTGTGAACTAGAGATAAACTAGTGTGAGCTGCGTCGGTATTTCTAAAAGAGTTGTGTAAAAAAATATTCAACACCGTAAAAAAGTAGTTGAAATAACTTACTGACGTTTCGGACGTTAATCCTTCGTCGGAGTAAAGAGATGGGACTTAGCTAAGTGTGAGTTTATATAATGAGAGGAGCAAGAGGACCAGCTTTTACACAACTGTTTCAGGAAATCAAATCAAGTTTGAACTTTTCTGTGCAATAGCTTCTCCCACCGAAATAATGAATAGTTAGTGCTTAGAAATGAGGTTATTTCGTTGGAGAAAGACTCTTTAATTGTCCCACGTACCACAAACGAGTGCGAGAAAAAAAATACTGCGAGCA